AAGAGGCAGCTGCTGCGACCAGAGGAGAGCGGTGGTCCCTGGGCAGCTAGGACTGCGGCTTCCCATCCCGGCTGGGGAGGTGACGCTGCCTGGCACCTGGTGGGCACTCACTAAGTATTTGTCAAATGAATGGATGGACGAGTTGGTGCTTGATCTTGGGTAAGTTGTCTAATCTGGCTGTAAGATCTCTGGGTCTCACTCTGTGTGTGTGTAAAATGACGGGATGGGACTAGAACATGTAAAACAACGTGGGTGGTACTCTCCTGGAAGGGGTAGGCATTCTTCTCCCCATCCCAGGACCTTCTTGGGTACCCCCAAAACAGTGCTCCCAACCTGGCTGTAAGTTAGATGAACCCAGGCCCCATAAGAGACCACTGAGTTCAGAATCTCTGGAGAAGAGGCCCAGGCCTGGGTAATTTCTAAAGCTTCTCAGGTGACTGATGTGCAGCTGGCTGAGAACCTTGACCCTGGAGCCTCCAAATATCCGATTTGAAAACCACTGAGGTCGGTGAGGGCAGGGACCCCTTCCAGGCCTAGGCCCTGTGCTTGGTGCAGGCCTCTCTTTTCTTTCTTTTATTTCTACTTAGCATAATATTTTCCAGGTCCATCCATGCTGTCCCAAAGGGTAAGAGATCCCTCTTTTTTACAGCTGCATAGTATTCCATAGTATCAACGTGCAATAGCTTTTTTATCCATTCATCTGCTGATAGGCACTTGGGCTATTTCCAGATCTTAGCTATTGTAAATTGTGCTGTTATGAACATAGGAGTGCATGCATTCTTTCTGATTGGTGTTTTGGATTTCTTAGGATGTGACTGATGTGCAGCTGGCTGAGAACCTTGACCCTGGAGCCTCCAAGTATCCGATTTGAAAACCACGGAGGTCGGTGAGGGCAGGGACCCCTTCCGGGCCTAGGCCCTGTGCTTGGTGACAGGCCTCTCTTTGCTTTCTTTCTTTTTTTCCCCCCCCAAATATTTTTATTGATTTCAGAAAGGAAGAGAGAGAGAGAGAGAGAGAGAGAAACATCAATGATGAGAGAGAATCATTGCTTGGCTACCTCCTGCATGTCCCCTACTGGGGATAGATCCTGCAACCTTAGCATGTGCCCTTGACTGGAATCGAACCTGGGACCCCTCAGTCCGCAGGCCGACGCTCTACCCACAGAGCCAAACCGGCTAGGGCTAGCCCTCTCGTTTCATGTCCCACCTCCCATCTCCCACACCAAAACTCCTGACAGCCAAGGGACCGAACACCAGGGTTTCCCAGCCACATGCTATGGACATTTGGGCTGGATCACTCCTAGTTGTAGAGGACTCTTCTGGGCATGTTAGGGTGTTGAGCAGCATTGCTGGTCTCTACCCACTGGGTGCCAGTAGCATATCCCCCCCAGGCAAAGCAATCAAAAAACATCTCCAGATGTAGCCAACTGCCTCCTGGGGTGCAGAACCGCCCCAGTGGGGAACCACCGTGCTCCCCTGAGTTTCCTGCCCTTCACCCCAGGGGCAGACAGAGACCAGGCAGGGTGGAGGCCATTTCACAGCACGTTTAGTTGGGCCCGGCAGGAGGGAGGCCGCCGTGGGAGGCCCAGGCTTCACAATGCTAAATGGGGGAGAGCCTGCCAGCAGGCTGACTGATGTGGTCTTGCTCCGGAGGGAGGACGTTTTCCAGAACACTCATTCCCGGATTCCCAGTCAGTCACAGGAGGGCCAGGAGTCGCTTCTGGGGCAAACAGCCCCCGCGTTACGGGAACAGGCCGCCGGGGTGTGGGCGTGGGAGTGCGTGTGGAGGGGATTCTTTCCTTCTGTAGATATTTTCCTGGCATTGGTGACGGCCCTATCTGATTGGTTGAGGGCTGCAGGGGAGGAAGTTTCCAACCATGGGTGCCTGGGCCCCTGGAGGCCTGACAGTTGGATCATGGGGACATCTGGGTTTCAGAATCTGGAAGACTGAACCTTTGGGGCTGGAACTAAGGGGCTGGCCACCTCACACCTCCCGCTTCCCCAAGCTAAGTGGAAGGTATGGGCACACTCTTTACAACTGGAGGCTAGCATCTGTCAGTGTCTTCGTAAGTCACTTTTTGCTTCAAGGAAGTGGAACCTGAGGGAAGATGGAGGTGGGAGGTCTGGGAAGGGAAGGGAAGGCAGGGAATGGGAGGGAAAGGGAAGGGGAGAGGAGAGAGAGGAAGAGAGGAGAGAGGGGAGGGGAACAGAGGGGAAGTGAGGGGAGGGGAAGGGAGAGAAAGGGAAGGGAGGGAATGAGAGAGGAGGAAAAGGGGAGGGGATGGAAGGGGAAGTTTTGCAGTCAGAAAACTGACTCACTTGCACAAGTCACCACAGATAAATGGAGTGTTGTTTCACTAACAAAGTCTAAATGTAAAGTAATCAAAGAAATATAAAGACTATGTTTACTGCTCTA